GGGAGACTAGGGATACAAGATTCATTCCTAAATATAATAAAAGCAATATGCAGCAAGCTAATATTAAATCAAATGGAGAGAACTCAAAGCCATCCTACTAAAATCAGGAACAAGACAAGGCTGTCCACTCTCTCCATACCTCTTCAATATAGTGCTTGAAGTTTTAGCAATAGCAATAAGACAGTTAAAGGAGATCAAGGGGATTCGAATTGGAAAGAAGAAGTCAAACTTTCGTTATTTGCAGATGATATGGTAGTGTACATAAGCAACCCAAAAACTCCACCAAAGGTCTCCTACAGCTGATAAACAACTTGAGTAATGTGGCAGGATACAAGATTAACTCCAAAAAATCAGTTGCCCTCTGATACACAAAGGATAAAGAAGCAGAGAAGGAAATCAGCAGCATTACCTTTCACGATAGCCACAAATAGCATAAAATATCTTGGGGTAACTCTGACCAAGGAAGTGAAAGATCTATTTGACAAGAACTTTAAGGCTTTAAAGAAAGAAATTGAAGTCCTTGTTTTTTACTGCTGAGTAGTACTCTAATATGTATATATTCCATACTTTCTTCATCCATTCTTCCATTGAAGGGCATCTAAGTTGTTTCCAGGTTCTGGCTATTACAAATAATGCTGCTATGAACATAGTTGAACAAATGCCCTTGTCATATGATCAGGCATCTCTTGGGTATATTCCCAAGAGTGGCATTGTTGGGTCCAGGGGTAGGTTGATCCTGAATTTCCTGAGAAACCACCACACTGCTTTCCAAAGTGGTTGCACAAGTTTGCATTCCCACCAGCAATGGATGAGTGTACCCCTTCCTCCAAAACCTCTCCAGCAAAGGCTATCATTGGTGTTTTTTTATTTTAGCCATTCTGACAGGTGTAAGATGGTATCTTAAAATTGTCTTGGGTTTTTGATCCTACTGCACGTACTGGCTTTGTGGGAGTCTAGGCAGTTTGGATGCTCACCTTACTAGACCTGGATGGAGGTGGATGGTCCTTGGACTTCCCACAGGGCAGGGAACCCTGATTGCTCTTTGGGCTGACGAGGGAGGGGGACTTGATTGGAGGAGGAGGAGGAGGGAAATGGGAGGCAGTGGCAGGGAAGAAACAGAAATCTTTACTAAATAATAAAAAAAAATAAGAAATTGAAGAGGATACCAGAAAACGGAAGGATCTCCCTTGCTCTTGGAATGGGAGGATCAACATAGTTAAAATGGCAATTCTACCCAAAGCAATCTATAGATTCATTGCATTCCCCATCAAAATCCCAACAAAATTCTTCACAGACCTTGAGAGAACAATAATCAACTTTATTTGGAAAAACAAAAAAACCAGGATAGTCAAAACAATCCAATACAATAAAGGTACTTCCGTGGGCATTACCATCCCTGACTTCAGACTCTATTACAGAGCTACAGTAATGAAAACAGCTTGTTATTGGCACAACAACAGAGATGTTGACAAATAGAATCAAATAGAAGACCCGGATTTTAACCCAGAAACCTATGAACACCTCATTTTTGACAAAGGAGCTAAAAGTATTCAATGGAAGAAAGAAAATATCATCAACAAATGGTGCTGACATAACTGGATGTCAACCTGTAGAAGCATGGAAATAGATCCATATCTATCACCATGCACAAAACTCAAGTCCAAATGGATCAAAGACCTCAATATCAGTCTGAACATACTGAACCTGATAGAAGAGAAAGTGGGAAGTACTCTACAACACATGGTCACAGGAGGCCACTTCCTATGTATAACCCCATGCAGCACAGACATTAAGGTCAACATTGAATAAATGGGACCTCCTAAACCTCATCCCCTTGAATGCCACATATCTTCACTTCCTAATATTGCACCCATGATTTGTTACTTTGTACCAACCCACTAATTTGGGAGGCACTTTCTGGGAATCCACAAACCATACTGGGAAGAGAATCTCAAGGCCTAATTGCAGATCTTTACCTCTCCCTTTGCTCCTCGAAATAGAGTTCACCAATCTTACTCTCTCTCATCAGAAGAACATGTGCTTCAACTCTCCTTCCACTCCTTCATCCATTTGCAGTGGATCATGCAAATCATCCCTTCCAAAATTTAATTCCACCACTCTTTGTCTTTTTACCAGACCCAAACTCTAGGAACCTAAAGGCCACTCTGCAATAGGGAAGCAAGTAGCTAAACTGCAGATCTTTACCTCTCCTTCAATTTTTCCAAATCAATCCCCAAGTCTCACCCACAGCTCTTAAGAAAGCCTTCTGTTGTGGCATTCCCTCACTACCCTGTACCTAGGAGAGTATCCAAGTACATCCTGGTGGAACATAGTGCTTTCCTTCCTCTTGTGAAGTCATATCACTGACACCAGACCTCCACATTTCTGGTTCTAATAGTTACGCATACATTTTACCCAGAATCCCCAGTGACTATAACTAAAGAGCCTCAAAATATTTTCTTACTGGAAGCACATAGACGCAACACTTTTCTATGATACAGAGAAGAAATAGAAACCAAAAAAATTACTCGAAAAATACAAGAGTAGAAGTAAGCACCTTTAGCTGCCATCTTCCCAATCCCAGATGCCCAGAAGCTCATGTAAAAGCACAGCAATACAGCCAGGACAATGTGCCTGCTCTAGTTCACAGAAATTCTCTTGCACAATACCCAGAATAACCCAACATAGTTAAAGCAAAAGAAAAAATCTTTAAAACAGCCTTTATAAACATGATAGTTTGTTAAAGAGGATATGAATACATTCCTTAAAGAAATCTTTAAAAGGAGAAACAGTGATAGGAAAGGAATAAAACAACTCAAAACCTGAAAATGAAAATAGGATCTATAAGAAAACCGAAACTAAAAGAAATCTATAAAAATATATTTCAGGAATTTAAACGGGACTGCAGATGCTATCTTTACTATTGGGATACAAGAAATAGAACAGAGACTCTCAAACATGGAAGACATTGTAGATGAAAGGGATATAAAAGTCAGAGAAATTTTAATTCTAAAATTCTCCTGACACAAAACACCCAGGATATCTGGGTCACCATGAAAGAATCAAAACTAAGAATAATGGGAATAGAGGAAAAAGAAGAAACTCAAATCAAAGTACAGGAAATATTTTCAACAAAATCATAGAAAAATAAGGAGATGCCAATAAAATTACAAAAAGCATACAGGACACCAAGCAGTCTGGATCAAAAAAGTATGTTTCCTTGGCATATAATATTCAAAATACTAAACATAAAAGAGAAATTATACTGAAAGCTTAAACGTAAAAAGACCAAGTAATACTTAAAGGCAGACATATTATAATTACACCTAATTTCTCAATGGAGATTTTAAAAGGAAGATAGACCCCCATATGGCTCCCTTCTCTTTCTTGCTCTGTCTCTGCTACCCCTTGTCTTCAGGAAACAGAAGAAAGTGACTGACAAGCTGCCAATGCAGACGAAACTGTCTTTGAAATTTCCTGCTTCATGGAAAAGTCTGCCAGATAATATGGGCCTGTAGGCTGAATATGCCATAATAGTACAGAAGAACTTTGGGTGACTGTCCAGGCAGCAAGATGTCTCTGTCAATTCTAGAGTTTTGGAACTTGCTTACAATGTACTTCCTGTTTACTTAGGTAATAATATATTCTTCTGGAGTCTTTGATGTAGTTGAAGAATAGATAGTTATAATTATAGCTTTCCTTAGTTGTGATAAAAGATAAAGTAGATATAAATATTGTAGCTGTAATTCTTGCTTGATACCTGTTTTGTTATATGTAATTTTATTATATTAAACTTAAAACCTTCTTTCTTATTTAGACATAAAAGGGTAGATGATATAGGAAGTTCTTCTGTATATGTATTGCTTTTATTGGTTAATGAATAAAAAATATGCATTGATCTGTGATAGGGCAGAGAAGAGTTAGGTGGGGAAAACTAAACTGAATGCTGGGAGAAAGAAGGCAGAGTCAAGAGAAGCCATGGTGCTGCCAGAAGAAAAAGATGCAAGCCTCCACCTGGAAACTTCCAGGTAGGCTCTGAGCCTCATGGTAAAATATAAAATAACAGAAACAGGTTTATTTAAGAGATAAGTGTGAGCTAGAAATATGCATTAGCTTTTGGGCAAAGAAGTGTTTTAATTAGTATAGTTTCTGTGTGATTATTTCACTTCTGGGCATCCAGGAGCAAACAAGCAGCCTACCTCTACACACCCACTAAAAATTACTGAAAAGGGGAAAAAGTGATAAACAGGTAAAAAATACTGAACATAAATGTAATTTTATAAATTTCTTACATCATAGGCTATATGAATGAAATTTTAAATTCTCTATAAATATAATTTATTTATTTAACCTAAATGTCCCAGAGTAAAAATCACTTATATTTTCTTGTAGCTTTTTTTATTTTTATAATATTACAAGAATTTTTGTCATCTATCTATCTATCTATCTATCTATCTATCTATCATCTATTTTTTGTTTTTTTCTGAGACAGGGTTTCTCTGTTGCTTTGGAGCCTGTCCCAGAACTAGCTCTTGTAGACCAGGCTGGCCTCAGACTCACAGAGATCAGCCTGCCTCTGCCTCCCAAGTGCTGAGATTAAAGGCGTGCACCACCACGGCCTGACTACAATGATTGTTTTAAAGCTAGAATTCCATAAAGAAAATTGGAGTTAGCTGATAAAGTATAACAAACCAGTAATAATAAAAACAAACCAAATATTTGATGGCTCAAGCATGATTAGGTCTGGAGAGATGATTCATAGTTTAAGAGCTATTTCCTTGTTTAGTACCCGAATTCAGTTCCTAGTACTCAAAGCAACTGAGTTACAGCATCTTGTAACTGCAACTTCATGAGAACCAATGCAATATTCTGGCCTTTAAACACACTACACATAGAAATTTGTACACACACACACACACACACAATATAACTGCCACTACTCCATTACTCCACTACTACTGCTACTACGCTACTACCAATTATTAAAAATTACTCCAAAATACAGTAACATTATTTATTATATGACCACACTCAGTCATTCACATGTACAACAGGAAGATAAATTCCACTGTCCATACATTATTTAAAAGTTTTAAGAACTTATTCCCATGGGAACAACCCTGGAGGGAAACCAGCCATTTTCTCTTGGAATTTCTTATTGAAATCTTCAGCTTGGGCTATTGTAAAGTGATTCTTCCAGTCCCCAGTCATGCCTGGAAAATGTGAAGCAAACACATAGATGAGTTAATGATGTTCTTAATACCTATGTAGCATTTATGTAGTATTATGTATTAGTATAATACATAATACTAATAATGATGTACTTAATTCTTCACACGCTGTTACCATCTGCTTGACAAGGACCACATAGTTAATAAAGTGGAACCACCAGTAACTCTGTGGAGCACACTTCTTATTTCTTGAAATAATGTGCATCAGACTTTTACCTCTACAGAAATAATGTCTCACCTTCTCTTATCCCAACCTATCAATGACACAAGTTAACAACATCAACAATAGCTCTGACTTTTCTATGTCCAAATTATTAGTGCTTCCAGTTATTTCTGCTTCCATCACACTATCCAACCCAAAAGAGTTTCTTATCTTGATTTTAGAAGTAGACTTCAATTGTTCTTTCTAAATTTTAGTATTAAGTGTAAAAATTCTGCAAAGCATGCAATCAACTTTAAAACATCTTTTAACATTAATTTTAATTATGTGTGTGTAGGCGCAAGTGAATGCAGGTGTCTGCAGAGATTTGAGGCATCAGATTGATATAGGTGGATCTTCTATCTATCTGTTGTTTCATTGGTTAATTAATAAAGAAACTGCTTGGTCTGATAGGTCAGAACATAGGTAGGTGGAGTAGACTGAACAGAATGCTGGGAGAAAGAAGCAGAGTCAGGAAGACTCTATAGCTCTCCTCTCCAAGATGGACACAGGTTAATATCCTTCCTGGTAAGCCACCATCTCATGGTGTAACACACATTAATAGAAATGGGTTAATCAGACATGAGAGTTAGCCAATAAGAGGCTAGAACTAATGGGTTGAGCAGTGTTTAAAAAATTAAGTTTCCGTGTAATTATTTTGGGTGTAAAGCTAGCTGGGTGGCGGGACGCAGCCCGCCACTCCTACTACATTAGATCTCTTTGAACTAGAGAAACACACTGTTGGGAGCTACATTCAAATTATTTAATGCTTCCATCTGATGCAGGATACGCAGCTACTGCAAGCCAAGAACATTCCAAGATTACTGTCAGTTTGGTGTTTGATAATGCATGAATATTTACATGATTCATCACTCCATTCTAGTATGTCTTTAATTTTGACATTAGAGATGCCATATTATCCAACTGCTCACATTTCATTGTATTGTGTGTTCCTTTACCCTAAAGTGTGGATGTGTTCCATATAGTTGCTTTTAGTTCATTTTTCCTTATTTATGTTACTGTGACCACTTCTTCCTATCTTCCTTCCAAGTAGAATTCTGTAGTCCTCATTCTTGTTCTATTTTATTTCATAGCTGTAATACTTTGGCACATTTTCTTTTTGTATATGACCACACTCAGTCATTCATATGTACAACAGGAAGATAAACCCTGAAATAAGATACACCTGAAGTAACTATCTAATATATTTGAAAAGGAAACTTATATCACCAAAAGCTTCATTTATCAAATCATATCACTTAATGACATATACTCAGTATGGAACTAATGAAAGCATTCATGAATTAGTGAGGAAGATACTGGTCTTGTTCTCATTTTGTTCATGAGAAAAAAAAATTAGTCTTTAAGATGTTACCCAGCGTGATAATGATGAATGTGAATTTGAAGCCAAAAAGATTGACAATAGAAGTCATGCTTTACCTTATCACCTTCCATTCCTTATTTATCATGTAAGGTAACTTTAATTTACAGTAGTATTATTAGAGAAAATATAAAATATTCTTTATTAATGGTAATTATTGGTATACCATATTCAAATAATATCTCATTGATTGATGTGACCATAAGAGTCTAATCTGTTAAAATGGGAATCTATCAGCATCCATTGCTACTCTCAGCTTCATCATTATCTTCATTACTAGAGCAAACTATTACTGTTTCCCACAGCATGTCTGATGCCTGATAAACCAGATTAGATGCTGAGCTACCTGAATCTCAGAAAATTCAATATGTTGCCCACTGGAATGTATCAGTCCAGATGAGAGAAGCATGTCTTTGCAGGTACACACATGAAGTTCTGAGTTCAACTTTGCCAATATCCTGTACACTTAACAAGCATACATTTCTCTTTATTTGTTCTTTCTAAAAATTCCCTCAATTTCTGGCTAGCCATGGGAAAGGATAACCCTAATGTGTGGTGACTTAACTCTTGTTGGAAAGAAGTTTGGTCATAGATCTGGAGACTGCAGGTATCACAAAAGGTTGTTATCCAGACCATCCCTTGGTTCTTATTGGCCTGTAGATAGTGGGCTTCTCCCTAGGTCTTCTTCCCTCTGTGTCTCAGATTAATGTCTTCTCAGGACACCAGGGAAAATTATTAATGACTCAAGAACTCTGTCATGGAAAAATCTAAAATATTTGAAGTTTGTCAGAAGACTTTTTATCACATATTTTGATTGTGACAATGTTTTTATAAAAGTTCTGTCAACTAACCAGTGAACAAGGATGGTAATCTCTCTGGTCTTTATTTCCTGCAGTATCTAAATATAGAGCCATAATCAACAAAATTGTTTGTGGAAAATTATGGCTTGATGTTTAAAACCAGATTAACTTCACTTGCTCAAACGGTTTAGTCTCTCAGGTAAGGAGCAGCTCTTCAGAGGCAAGAGAAGGTATTTTATCTGTCCCAAGAAATTCAACTAAAGGACAATGAAAACAGGTCTACAGAATTCCTCCAGGTTAAGGCCAGCATAACACTTAACACAGCTTTTCACGTATTATGATCTAGGGAATTAGGTACATAATGGTAAGTAATGAATTAATTTTAGAATTGATATTTGATCTGTTCATAATTTCAAGATTAAAAGGGGAACAATCTGATATAGGAAATGAGAGACTTCTTATGTGAGACCTTCATTTCTAGTTCAGAGAACTCTGTCTCCACAGAGTTCAGCACACAGGAATGTAATATTATCTTTCAAAAGCAGTGGATTCTTCCAGAGGCCTAGTCTTCAGTGTATAGATGACCAACTTCTTTTTTTTATAGATGACCAAATTCTTGAGGAGACATGTTTTTGTTGTCAAAACTGAGTCCAAACTCTCTTGTGAGGACAACAGGAGTAATGGATTAAATGAAACCTGTTAACCCCTTAAACTTACTTATCTATCTGTCTGTCTGTCTATCTATCTATCTATCTATCTATCTATCTATCTATCTATCTATCTATCATCCATTTAATGCTGATGTCCTTATATTATAGGATCTAAACCTCACACTGTGTGGTGGAGGAGAACTGAAGATTAAGGATGAAGCATGCAAATTACTGGGAGAAGAATATTCAATCCATTATTCTTCACTTCCTACATATATACCCAAATTTCTTTTTTTTTCAAGTCAGGGTTTCTCTGTGTAACAGCCATAGATGTCCTGGAACTAACTCTGTAGACCAGACTGGGTTCGAGCTTAGAGATTCACTTGCATCTGCCTCCCAAGTGCTGGGATTAAAGGCATGCACCACCACTGCCAGATTATACCCAAGTTCTTTACTCATCCCCAAAGAACTGACATCTGACTTATGCTTCTTTAAACCTGAGTCTCATATCACCTATTATCTTCTAATTAAATGTAGATGATACTCCAGGTGTGATTCACTCTGGCAGTTACTCCTCAAGTTTACAACTATGAAACCATAACCACAGTCTTCCCAACACAGACAGGATACCCAGATGTAGAGAAGCTGGCTATTCCTATTCCAGGGGAGACCGTTTAGAATAAACTGAGTATTCCCAAGCCTAAAACAATTCGAATTTAGGTTGGCGAATTGCTTCAGATTATAATACTTGTGTGAATAATTTGCTTAGCCTTTATGAGACCTATTCTCAGATGGGAGTGTTTCAGCAATCTTAGCATGTTAAACATCTTCTTCAGCCATTAATGGAAGTATTTTCTGTGGCCATCATCCTAGATATATCTTTGATCCCTGCATTAAACATTTTCTTTAGAGTTGAGGTATAAGATACACAGAGGCTTACAAAGCCTCATTGCAACATATCTACCCTTTTGTTTCACAATGAGGGTATTGGTATTGCACACAACCATCTGCAATCCTAATATGTACTTCCAGAAAAAAAAAATCATTTTTTTTCAGAGTTCCTGAGGACCACATATTCACCACCGAAATATTCCCCAGTATGGTCTGTGAGAAACCATGATGTAATAAACAATGAGTTTTGAAACGTTCCCAAGTATTCCTTAGAGTCTTATTGGAGCAACACGACATCTACTTGTTCTGACATATTTTGAAGCTAGAAAATTTCTTCACCTTTTCTCAAGAGGACCAATCCATTAGTAACCTCATCTTCCGTGATGAGGCTAAAATTGGACATTTTATTTTCTTTCATTGCTTGGAAGGAGCTGTACTTGAGGACCATATCGAGTTCATCTGGCTCTAATTTCTTTCCTAGGAAGTCACAGATCTTCTCTATGATTTTCCTTGTGTCCTAAAAGAAGAGGAAACCAAAATGAGGGTAATAAACAGAAAACACTGACAGAATAGATACACAGAAGGGAACTATAGGTGGCGAATGGAAAAAAAGGGACATGAAGAAAGAAATGAGAAAACACTGAAAGTTTAGGAAAGAAACAGGCCATGTAGAAAGAACAGGAGCTACACACAGCATTTATATATTGTGTGGACTTGCTGATCTCTGGCCCTAAAAGACAGAGGTTAGAATTTCTTATATAGAGGAGAGGGCATTAGAGAGAGGATCTCATATAATTAAGGCTATACTCAAACTTACTTGGTAATAGATGAAGACTTTGAACATCTGATCCTTCTGCTTCCATCTCTGTGTGTTCACACGTGTGTGCCAACATGCCTACTAAATTAACTGGGATGTCTTTTTCTTGAGACAAGGTCTCCCTACAGAGCTCTGTCTTGGTGTATTAAAGTTGCTATGTAGACGAGATTGACTTCAAGTTCAAAGAGGTCAGAGATCAAACTACATGATTTTACTAAGTTCTGGCATGAAAGGTGTGCACCACCATACCCAACCTGCCCGAAGATATTTAAAGTAACTTATAAAAGTATTTGTAGACAGTGATAAGTTGGATTGATGGCAATGTGCACAAATAATTTGAGAGAGGTTAACGTTTACACCATGCAATAATGTCTCCTATGGGAAACTGATAATGACATAGCTTTACAACACTTTCATAAAAATGTTCTCAATAATTATCATGGGGGGTGTATTTTTGGAGATACTCTTATGTTTTAAGGTATGATCTCGGGCTATAACTCAGATGGGCATCATATTCACCATTTTTCTACATCAGATACCCATATACTAGAACTGTAGCTGTGCAATAGCACAACTGCCTTAATCGTAGGAGATTGTCATAACAAGACAGAATCTCGGAATACTGAAGACTTTGCTTTGAATTCTAGCCCCTTTCCTGGGCCTGTAAAGGTACTATTGGCTCAAAATAGTTATTACATGTTTTATTACCAATTAAATCAACTTATCATGGGAAGGTAAACAACCATGATGGTAATAAAATATAATGTGTTGAATGGTTGGACAGATTTAGGGGAAACTGAACTACCACTAAGCACAGACAGCTGAGTATGAAGATTTCTGGGGAATATTGAATTTTATTAAGTGAAAAATGATTTGACAAAAGGCAAAGAAGTTTTTGTTTTTGCTATTTACAAGGAAACTTTCTGTTCCTTGAAGAAAAATAAGATCAAGTTCCTTTTGAATAATCTAATTTTCCTGGTTTGTTGCTCCTAAATATTTTTCATTAAAAATTGTTTTCATGATTCCTGCCAGGAAAGTTAAGTAGACTGACTGAAGATCTTAAACATTACCTGTCCTCCTACACATAGAAATCCCTAGTCTCATCCCCAGTAACGCCACAGAAAATCCATGGCAACACCCCCATCTAGAATGGATCCAACGGATCTTCTTTTAACCTTATTCCTCCAACTCGTTGCACCATCCCAAACCCCAACTCCAACAGACCTTCTTTGGGAAACCAGAGACTACTCTGGCCATGGAAGAGCTAAGATAACTAGAAATCTTTATTTCCTCTTCATTTATTTGAGTCCAAAGATCCTGTCTGATCCCCAGCTCCACAACAGAACACCCGCATTAGTGAACCACATCTCTAGTGGAACTCACAGACACCTCGTAACAGCTCTACCCCAACAGATTGCTTTGTCCCACACCCCAACTCCATCAAGCATCCCTGGAAAACCACAGCCCAAGCTGGGCAAGAAAGCACAAAAGGTTAAATCCTAATTTTCATCTCTCCATTTGCTTTTCCAAATCCAGTTTCTTAATCTCATTCTCAGCTTTATGTTTAACACCTTAAGCAGCTAACCTCCTCCAAATGCCCCATTTGCAAGTGGATGTCTTCAATATTATACTCCAAAGTTTATTCTCCCTACCCATTGCTTTCTTCTAGCCCTAAAATCCTGAAGACACACCCTAAGAATGCACAGGCCACTATAACTAGAAAAGCAAGTAGGTTAACTACAGATCTTCATCTCTCCCTCCATCCTTCCAAGTCTAAAGCCCAGTTTCACTCACAGCTTTATAACAAAACTTCTGTTGTAGCCTGTTAGTGTCCTTCCCCCATGACTAACTAAGCAGATCTCATGGAAAACTCTGATGTCTTCTCTCCTGTGAACTTAATTTTTCTGCCCCCTCCTAGCCCATCTCCATTCCTAAGAGTCATCTTTCCATATTTAGAAACACATTTTATCTGGAATCTCCAGGGGCCACACTTATTAGGATCCCAGAAAAATTTCCTACCAGGCAACACACAGCAACAGCACTCTCCTAAGTACCAGTCAGAGCAACAAAAAATAAGGAATCACCAACTGAACAAAGACAGGACCAGATATCATCACCTATAATTTCAATTTTCCCGATTCCAGCTGCTATGCAACACCCTAAAAACACAATCAATAATATCCAGGACAGAATATCTCCACTAGAGCCCAGTCACCCTACTACAGCAGGCTCCTAGTTTTCCAACATAGCTGTAGAACAAGTAGAAACCTTTAAACAGCCTGTATGGTGATGATAGAGATCCTAAAAGATGAAATGAACAAATTGCCCAAAGAAATCTATGAAAATACCAACAGTGGAATAATATAAAAAAAAACATTCAAGGTGTAAAAGTAGACACAGAATCAATCAAGAAAACCCAGAGTGAAGAAAATCTGCAAAAAAAAAAACCTTAGGAACTCAACAGGAACCTCATAGGTGAGCTTCATGAACAGACTATAAGAGATGGACAAGAGAATCTCAGGCATTGAAGACAACATAGAAGAAATAGATACATTTGTTAAAGGAAAGTTAAATCTGAAAGCTCCCATCACAAAGCAATCAGAATATTTGTTACACTATGAAAAATCCAAACTTAATAATTTAATAGTGGAGGTAGAAGTAAAACCCAGGTCAAAGGCACAGAAGACATTTTCAACAAAATCATAGAAGAAAATTTTCCTGCTTAAAGAAGTAGATACCTATCAAAGTAAAAATAGCCTACAGAACACCAAATAGATTGGAGAGGTAAAGAAAATTCCCTTATCACATAATAATAAAAAAATCTAAACATAGAGGACAAACTATGGATGGATATTTAAGGGCTAGAATGGGAAGATCAAGTGGGGAGGGAGAAAGGAGAGAGACTTGAGGAATGGAGTATGGAATTAGACTGCTAAAGTTAAGGAACAATTCATAAAACATATATACAGCCTATTACAGCATAAACTTCCTAAAATATGTATGTATGTATACACACACACATATGAAGGAAATCTAAAGGATATAAACTAGTATTGGGTGAGATGGTCCCAAATGGCCATCTCTTATCACCAAAGGAAGCTTCCAGTATTGAGATTGGGTTAGATCTAATTTATTTATTTGCCAAAGTTATCCCTTGAGAACCCATAAACAACACAGGTTATTGCTGAGATTATAGGTTGTTCTAAAAAAAATTGACAGCAAATTCACATTGCTGAAGACAATACCTTTACAACTCATTGAATATGGATATGCTGGACTGGTGACTACATAAAACTTTCACTCATCTTTCCAGCATCATTCTTACAAGAATGTATTCTGCATGCTACTAAAAAAGAAATATAAGCATGAAAACAGCCCAAAATCCTTTGATCTACAATGGTGTTCTCACTGTAAGATATACTAGTGCAGTGGTGTCACAAAGCTCATGGGAATAACCAGCCAGTACCTGACTTCATTTAAAGATTGCTTCTCAAGACAGAACCCATACCTGACAGTGCTTTGATGGGCAGAGACTAGATAACCTGGGAAACTAGGGGTAAAGCCAAGTAATACTGGTCTAAAAATTTAGTGACAGCATGACTCCTAAAGATATTTTGGTATACTCAGATTAGTGCTTCTTCAGACAGTTTCATAGCAGTTTTCTCCCAAAGCAGTTGGGAACAAATATAGATATCCATAGACAGACAATACAGAGACTGAGATACTTTTGAACAATCAGCCATGCATGGTAAGTATCCACCAAAACTCTCCGTTTAGAGCTTAGAGAAAAGGAAGGAGGAGGAGGAGGAGGAGGAGGAGGAGGAGGAGGAGGAGGAGGAGGAAGGAAGGAAGGAAGCAAGGAAGCAAGGAATCAAGGAAGCAAGGAATCAAGGAAGCAAGGAAGGGTGTGAGAGCCAGAGAGGAGGGAAGATGCCAAGAAAACAAGGCACTCCTCATCAACATAGGTAAAGTTCATATGAACCCACAGACTCTAGCAGCATCATATCAGACTGCACCAGTCCTCTGCTTATATATTAGGGCTTTAATTTTGGTGTTTTTGTGAGCTTCCTGAACTCACATGTGTAAACATGTTAGCCTCTGCTTGCACCTTCTCTAAGTTGTTTTCATTCTGTTGGTTTGCCTTGTTTAAACTCTGAGGTGAGAGAGTACCAGTGCAGGCCCAGGTGGGGCGGCAGACCACCAGCGCAGGTGGCAGCAGACCAGAGCAGGCGGTGGCAGACAGCAACACCGAGAGCAGATTGCCCCACTACAATTAAAGCAAAGAGGTAGGCCTTTGGTTGGCGTGGTCCCTGGCAAACAGGGAGCCTGGTCCTGTTCCTGAAGACCCTTCTGAGGGGCGAGAGGGAACTTGGCCCTTGGCAGGAGCCAGGAAACAGAGTGACAGCATTTTGTAAGAGGAAGCCCTGGCCAACAGGGAAACCTGATCCGGTTTTAAAAGACCCATTAGATAGCTTTGATAGGAGGAGATGGGCAGGCGCCAAGGCAAGAATTCACCCAATAATCCGAAAAACAACATGAAAACACCAGAACCCAATGATCTTACAACAGATGGACTTGAACACCCTAATATGGAAGAAGTGGAAAAAATTGACTTTATGAAAGCAATAGAGTCCATTAAACAACATGTGAAAAATGCCCTTATAGAAATGGATGAGAAGTATAACCAAAAGTTTGAAGAA